TGTTTCCCAGGCTAATGTTCAATTGCTGGTTTGTGTGAATTCAGAATCACTAATAGAAATGGAAAAGAAACTGTCACCTCTGTGAAACTTTTCACACTACAGGCAACGTTTTATGCAACATTTTATCAGTTGCAACAGTCATGCAAGTATAAAAATGTTGTGCATTTTACCAAGTGCAATAAAATTACACAGCCTTTAATGAACGCAATAATATAATGAACATAAGTAATTAGATAAAGGGCGTATAGGGAACTGGAGAGAAATGGTTGATGACCTCACAAAAGGTAAAAAGAAGTTAAGTGCAGTAATCAAAGTGTCAAGAATAAAGAAATTAAGTCGTATAAAAACAAATGTATCTTTGTATTTTAAAATTGTTTCTTCTATTTTTGAAACAACCCACACTTTTTTAATTGAACAGCCTAAGGAAACAATAGATGCATTAATACAATAAATATTACATAAATGGTGGTCTTGTAAATGCTCCGTGGGCAGGATTCATGAGTGGGCTCGACAATGCCGGCTGGCCATGCCTGCGCCCGCCCGTGCGTTGGATGCTCACTCGGTGTTTGTGTTGTTGTGTTGCAGATAACGGAGCTGGACGAAGACCTCCCGAAACAGTTGATTTTAGTCGAGTTTAGATCCCTCACGGTGAACGTGCTCCCCAAAACTAAACCGCAGCAGGTGCACACCAACGGCTTTGCGAAGAACTTCAAACGTTTCCGCAAGGTCAGAACACATTTGCAATTCCAACACCATTTTGTCTTTTTTTTTTTTTCTATGTAGTCAGTAAATCAGCTCAGGAAAGGAAAAATTCTTTTACGCTGATGTGTGCAATGGGACAGATGCGAGTGCCCGGGACGGACGACTCGCCACACATCATCGGGAGGTCTGACCTGCTGGCTCACAACCGCGGCAAGAACTCCGAATTGGACGAATGGTTGAAAGACGTAGAGGAGGTTCGATTCCCTTGCTCTCAGTTTGTCATTCCGTGAGCGATGCATTGAGTCTTCCGCTGCTGATGTGCGTTTATTGTAGGAAGAGCGGCAGAGCAGACTGGAGGAATCTGAAGGAGATAACCTCTTTAGGTGAGGAAACCGATGGGTTTTAACGCGTAAACCTTTTCAAGCGGATAGCATGGTTGACTAATGGTTAGCTTGTCAAGCTCACAGTTCTGAGGTTCAGACTTGAAATCTCTGCTTTGGCCTTCCTGTGTGTAGTTTGCATGTGTTTCTCTCCAAATCAAGCTCTAATATCGCGGAAAACTTACGAACACCAATTTTTGATGTCACAAGTGACAAGTATATTTCATTGAACGTTTCAGTTGCTGCTAGCTAGCTCATGGTGAACACAATAAGCTAATGTAGCACTCTACATCTTCGCTCAATGCTCCATCTTGTCAACTAGCACAAACGGGTTGACTCAAATGCAAAGAAGCAGTCACAGAAGTTCCAAATTCAATCTAATGTTCACATAAAGCTGGTCAGAATAACCTGCGCTGGATCTGAAAAGAGTTGGAGTGAGGTGTGCTGATATCAAGCATGTGTATGATTTCAGAAAAGGTTTTTGCCGGCTCGGGATGAGGCAAAGGCGCTACCGTTCTGCTTGCTAACTTCATAGTTCTACCCGTTTTTTTGTTTAGTTTTTGAACTTCATTCATTAAACTAGAATACAAAATAAAAATACAAGATCCCTCCTCGGTCCAAAATGAAATATGACAAAAGGGCATGTGTGTCGAGTTAAACAGCAAGCAAAGTTAACCTGTTGCCCTGTTGAATCGTAGTTAAAGATTGGCTTGAGTCATATCGTTGAAACATTTCTCAGCCAGAGGCTAAACATTTGAAAAAAGAAAAAAAATTAGAGCGAGAGAGAGAGACTATATAGGCTATATAGTGGCATTGTCATTTGCTTTTCCAACAAGAAAAGCGTTAAATATTCATATGGCAAAACATGAGGTCTCTAGTTCAAAATATTAACTAAGGTGGTTGAGAAAGGATCAGGAGCTATTGCCCTGAAGAACACTGCACAAGCGAGTATTATTTCCAGAAACATTTCCCAGAGGATCTGAGGACTAATGCTGCTGAGCAGCGGACATTTAGCAGATAAACAATCAAGCTCATTAGGAGGCGAACTTTGTCTATAAATAGTTGTCTTCATCAGACAAGCACTTGTTTGGCAGGTAAATTTCTACTTATGCTATTCTCTTCCATCCTGATCTATATCTATATTTTATTTACCGGTATTTGTGAAATTTTTTCTTCAGGGGTTTTACGGGCGACTTTTGTCTCCGATACAGTGCTGTCCCGTCGCCACAGCCGAATATCGCAGTTGAATTTGTAAATGACACCCACCTTAGTGCAAGCACTTTTAGAATCGGAGGGGGCCTCAAACTTTATGGGTAGGAAAACCCCTGGTTCACTGCATATTTTCACCCCAAATTTTAGCTGTGCTTCAAATTTTAAAAAGTTGAAAGTATTCGAATGTGGACCTTTTCCCTTTCCCCACGTTCGTTGCCGTAGGAGACTTAAATGTGCTTATACTTCATTCCCATGTGTGTTGTACCTGTCGGTGTTGTCGAATTAACAGCCATTTCTTCAGCCCGCGCGTCTTTGGTTCTATTCGTGGACTCGTACTAATCAACATAATTAAGGGAATTATGGGTTCTTTCGTCACAGCGGTTTCTACGGTAACGGGGGTGATGTAAGCTGCTGTGTTTTCTTTGACGAAGCAGAAAAAGAGATTGAGATTGATTGTGCGTGTGTGTGCGCGCGCGTGCGCCCGTGCGTGCGTGTTGAGGCTGAGCTGTTTGATCACGCCGTCACACTCAGTCAGTCATGCTTAAACCGGGGAACAGACCCTGCCGCTAAGAAAACAGTCCCAGTGCATTTCGGTGGCATGAGACCAGAAAGTGTCTAGACGTGCTTTATAGGACGCCTGTTTGCTTTTAGTTGTTCAAACACTTTCTCTCGTCTTTTACGGCGCTGTTTTTTGTTTGTTCAAAATGCCTCCCGAGCACAGTGAAGGATGAACCGTGAGGAATGTTAAAAGCCCGTCCAGAGGGAACGATGACATCAACTGTCCAATGTGTGTTTGTTTGTTTGTGTGTCTTTAGGTACAACCCCAGCAAATTAACCAAGAGAAGAAGATGAAGAAGCAAGTTCATGGTCAGATCGTCTCGAATGAGAATCAAAATCTACGTTTGTATCGTTAATGTTTGTTAGCCACTGAAGTTGGTTTTCTTCACACCGATGCTCTTATGACGCCACCGACGGCAAGTATTGTAAAAGAAGTTTTCCAATCACGTTTTGTGCATTTGTGCAAAAATATGACATTCAAAACATTTCAAAGACAGCATTAAAAGTTGATATGCCAAGAGCAGCTTTTCCTTTTTTGTTACGTTAATCGATTAATCATTTAAAAATCGGGTCGAATTTGAATCATTGATGTTATTTTGTCTTGAAGAAATTGAGGCAAAACGGAGTGCGCTACTTAAATTGAATCGGCGGAGGCTCGATTTCTTTCTCAACTACGGTTAAGTCTCAGGAGGAACAACATGGCGTCAGCTGGGCGACATCCACGCTATGGCACAAGTCCACCAGGCAGCATAATTCTGAAGCTGTTCAGTTAAGTAGCCATCCTGCCAAAACGCATACATAAACCCTAAGAGAGGTTTAAAAAAAAAAAAATTAAAAGATACGTTCACACTCAGCAGTCACAATTTTAAGTGAGAGCCAATACACGCTGTTTTCATCTCAAATGAGCATTATAAAATGTTTAAAGGCAGAGTTTTTGATACCATTCTTGTATCTGACGTCATGAGTTGGACCTACCGTTAATTTTGTGGCCTGTGTGTGTGTGTGTGTGTGTGTGCGCGCTCGCGCACGCGCGTGCTCAAGCGCAGCAAAGCAATATTTGGAAGTCTGTCAAAAACCACACTGCAGGAATTCATGTATGAACACCAGACTGTTAGGAAGCAGATAACTATTGTAGCTTTTGAATGTATAACCCCAAACATGGCTAACATATTAAAGGGGGCTCAAAGAGACCCGTCATAATAAATAAACCATTAGCTGTGTGTGCACGTGTCTGCACTCAAAACTGGAAGCTGACATGAACACTGTTTTTCTATGAGGTGACAAAGGGCATATGTGCGAAATGGATCATAGCCACTGCTCACCGTTGCCTATTTTGCACAAGCTGTCAAGAAAATTAGTGAAAGAGTAGCGCACTGACATCTGAGTCGGTGTGTGAAAAGTTCCCCGAGATTATATGAAAGTTACAACAAATGTATGTGGACCTGCCACTGTGTTGTTAAATAAATATAT